CGGTTTTCGCGGTAAATTCCGTTCAATCCAATTCCGGTTGAAATAGGTTTCCCCTTCTTCAACCTTAAAGGAACGATGTCTGTTAATATCTTTGACGGCGTAGTTCGAAAGAAGAAGTTGTAACGGGTCGTAATGACGAGATCGAGTACTACCAGAAAAGGAAATGTATATGCGTGGAGGATACGGCGAAGCCTGTTGTCTCGTCAAAAAGTTTCAGAACGCTTACTCAAATCACGACTATGGATTAAAGCATATCGCCCTGGTTGGTTGTTCGGTTTTCGCGGTAAATTCCGTTCAATCCAATTCCGGTTGAAATAGGTTTCCCCTTCTTCAACCTTAAAGGAACGATATCTGTTAATATCTTTGACGGCGTAGTTCGAAAGAAGAAGTTGTAACGGGTCGTAATGACGATATCGAGTTTACCAGAGAAGGAGATGTTTATGCGTGGAGGAAACTGCGTCTCGAAAAAAAAAAGTTTCAGAACGCTCGTTCAAACCACTACTTTGGATTAAACATATCGTCCAAATGTACGCTGGTTGGTTGTTCAGTTAATAGGTGGTAAATTCCTTTAATCCAATTCCGTTATCGGTTTCGTTTCTTGATGGGACAGTTAATTATTATCTATAATTATCTTCAGTTGAAATAGATTTCCCCTTCTTCAACCTTAAAGGAATGATGTCTGGTAATATGTTTTGACGGCGTAGTTCGAAAGAAGAAGTTGTAACGGGTCGTGATGGGAGAGATCGAATAGCTCTCGAAATTCTTGGGATAGGGAAGGTTGTCGAATTCGGGTGGATGACATGTATCTCATACAGTGTCATCATAAAATATAGAGATTCGTTTTGAGTTACATATGTTTGACCGAGTAGGAGGAATATCGACTCCATTAGCTACGACCACGGCGTAGAATTCCGGTTCATTAAAAGTGTTCGGCATTATTGAACGGAAAACGTTGTTGGAAATCATCTCTTCAATTGGAATTCGACTCGGTCGAAAATATTCGTAGTCTTGTTGTTAGTTCAGGTTTTTATAGAGCTCTTTTTAAGGACTGAAATTTGTGTACGAAGTAATTCGTGCAGTGAAAGGGTCTGTTCGTAGGAAGATAGCTCCGTTGTTAGTGTTGGACGAAGGTGGGTCAGTATTCTTTGGCTAATGCTCATTATGAATAGAATAGGATCAGGTGGTGTTAAGTGTGGAGTTCAAATAGAATTCTTTGTATTGAATGCAAAGTGAAAATAAAGGCTCGAATTACAATAGTATGCAAAATTTATAAAAAAATAAATGTTTATAAATTTGATTAGGTTACGTTCACCGGATCATGTGATATTATATTAAAAAGCTCGGATCATGTGATTTTATAATAATCTGTCACATTACGTCACAAACTTGTAGTAATATCACATGATCAATAGTTAAGCGTCAGACATGTCGCATGCAGATCAATTTTATAATTAAATTTATTTGTGTAACTAATTGAAAAATTTGCCTTATAGAATGTCATAAGTTCTATTCATTTATTTTAATCATTCACCACTAAAAAAAATTTTTTTTTTTTTTGCAATTACAAGAAGTTTTGTTCTAAAAAGCTACATTTTTTAAGATCTTCTTAAAAGTTGAAAAG